GGGGGACGTTTGCGCAAATACCCGCGCGGAGGGAGGCGGAGTGGGGCGGCCGCCGGGCCGGAGGGCAGCAGGGGTGCGGCTGCTTGCACGCGGCTGGTCCATGGACCACGTAGAACACAAGGGTCTAGAACGTGCCCTGAGCGCACGTTGAACTCACACGCGGAACTGGAACACCAGGGTGAGCGTTGGGCGTTTAGGTTTTTTTAAATCTCCCGAAGGAACCGTAAGGAGCCGCCAGGGTTAAGCGGCAGCGGTCCGGACGCAGCGAGAAGGCAGAGGGTCACCCGTCCTGCCCTCGCGGGGGCGGCGTCGGTGCAGCGGGGCGGCCGCTCCGACCCCGGACACACGGACGCCAGCGACGTCCTGCGCTGTGAAAACAGCTTCACAAGGAGCCGAAAGGATGCTGTCGAGGGAAAGAAGAGCCTCCCGGGAAAGGGACGGGAGCGGGGACGCCGTCCTTCCGGGCCTACGCGGACGCTCCGGCCCTGCGCCCTCCAGCCCACCCCCCGATCCCCCCCGGCCCCCCGGCCCCACAGAGCTTCCCCGCCCCGGGGCTGGCCCGGGAAGAGGTTCTCCTGTGAACTGTTCACGCAAGTGTGAGACGGACGCCCCCAAGCTGGGCCCCTCCCCTCCCGCAGGGGCAGGTGAGAACCGCGCGCCGGGGGAGGCGGGGACGAGCCGGCCGGGCCGCCGCGGGCGCGGGCGTGCGCATGCGCGGGCCTCCCCTCGCGCGTCCAGAGGAAGCACAGGCCTGACGGTCTCGGCGACAGGGGCCTCCAGCCGGACGTGGCTAACACGGCTGCTCGCGCGTTTCTCCCGCCCTGGATGCGCCCTTGGCCAGAAGCGCTCCTAGGGCGGCACGTGAGCAGCACGACTCCCGAGTGCGTGTCCTAACTCGGATGCGGAGAGCCGCGAAGCCCGGGGGAGCTCTGAGAATACCACGGAAGACGCTTCCTACGCGAACAAACAGCAGGACGCAGCCTGTCTCCGCGAGTGTAGACAGGAGTGTACCCCAGCACTGAGCGTGGTGCGTGGAGAAGATACGCCGCCTTTCCAAGGATCTCCGGCGCTCCTTTGCTGCTATAGATTCACTGACTGGAATAGATATTAAGCAGAAATTTCTATTTATTAAACATCTTGCTGTAACTTGTGAGACAATTTTTATGAAGAATGGCATTTTGGAATTTTTTAATTGCCCGTTTTGGCATAATATGTAGTCCCAAAGCTACCGCATCCCATAAAATGGCCGTTAGTGGCAGTAGAACGGAGGCTATCTTTCTGGACGGTGAAGGGAAGGCCTCCGAGGTCCCTGGGATCACACTGTGACTTCCACACTTAACAGCTGGCATTTGAAAATACAACGGAAAAATGATTAGAAGGTAATGAATCAAAATTAGAAATTAAAAGTTTTAAGACAGCAAATTATTGTGGCCTTTTGTTAATGACACTACTAAATTCTGGTTTGCAAAGCTTGATGTGGTGGGAAATGAGTTACTGTATCATGAGTACCTACCATGTGGATTATTGTCTGCTCCAGGCAGACAGCCAAAACACAGATTCTCATCTCCCTTTACAGATAAGAGTTCAGAGGCTCAGAGACGTTACTCCTATCCAAGGTCACACAGCAGGCCAGTGACAGATCGAGGTTCAAACCCAGGTCCATCCGGCTGCAGCACCCATGTTCTTTCTGCTA